CTGCTGTGTCATAATGAAAACTAGATGCAAGCTTTTTGGGCAAGGACAACATCTGTTTACTCTGCAAAGCATTCTCTACGCTTGCATTGAAGAAAGAGGAAGAATTATTCTTTTATTGGTTAAAATGTTTTGTCATGTGCATGCCCTATATCTGGCCTCTCAATAGGTTTTTCTCTTATGAGATTAGCCGGACAATGAGTGGATGGTAGCTCTAAGTTTTCTAGAGGTGCAATGATGCATTTAATTGCAGCCAGATTTTTAGTACTAAATAATTAAAGCATTTTTAGAACAAACAATTATTTGGGGAAAAATCCATCCAGACTTCCTATACCAGCCGAAGCCATGTGTTACTTTAGCTGTACTGAATAGGCATTACATCGGTTATGTGTGTATAGGAGTGATTATGTGTGTATATCATTTTAAAATTACGCATTTTACTGTTTTCTGATCAGATAAAAGGTGGGAAAGTGCATTATGTATCCGATGCTGGAATTGCTGGGAAAGTGGAAAGAAATATCCCAGAAGTGTACGCTGCGGATGGTCAGTGGCATTCAGTACTCATTGAGAAGAACGGGTCTGCTACTATCCTGTCAGTCGACAAGACTCACAGCCGAGACATCCTCCATGCCACGCAAGACTTTGGTGGACTAAATGTTCTTACAATTTCTTTGGGAGGAATCCCATCAAGCCAACCTTTCAAGAGTGCGGTTTCAGGTAATTTTTATTATTTTTTTTAATATAGTGCACAGAAGCAGATTTGAGCAGACAAAGGGTCTCTATTTGCTTAAAGGTTGCAGAATGTACTGTAATTCTTTATTAGTAACTAATATACTTCCGTACTTTGCCAGGAAAATTGCAATTTGAATGTGTAAGGATTGCGGACTTCGTTCCTTCAATACGTGTTGCTGCCTTGTTGTTTCCAAAGCAGGCACTCCATCTGTAGGGCTTTTGGGATGGGGGGTGTGGGTTTGCTTGCTTGTCTGTAAATAAGCTGTGATAATTTTGTTATGTTAATGGAGAAGAAAGGATCTATTCTTCACCTGGGTCAGAATCTGGAAAATCAAGGCAAATCTTTTACTTGGGCAAAAATGCTAAACGAGAACTTTGTCTCTGTAGGGGTTTGGTAAGTACTGTAGGATTTAGCCTGTTATTAATATGATTAAAATATTTTCTGAAACTCCAACTTCCTCCTGCTTTATTCTGCTGTCAAATGATGAACAAGGTTTATTTCTGAGCAACAGAAACCAAGGACAATAAAGAACCAACCGGCCTCTGACTGACATCTTGCTGTTAAGTAAATCGGTCTCCCTTAAGAGTTAAAGCAACTGTCTTAGACCCTGGCAAAAGAAGTAAATAACATATATTTGATATCATTCCCCCAGTGATAAGTAAAGATGGAACTGATTTTTAGCTACAAACTGTGAGATACTCCAGACAATGCAGGCGCAGGTTTCACAGAGTTTTTATGTTGAAAAATCTTCCTGACTTCAAGAATTGTGACCAAATAAAAGATGAGTGGAGCAATCACACTTCACATCTGTGTATTGTGAATTTGTATGAAATCATCTGAATGCTATGCTTACCTTTACCGTTTTTACATGTATGTTTTATGAGCAGTGTACTCATGGAAAAGTCAGAGGCTTTTAGGAAAGCTGGAACCAAGAAAATTGAGGACGCTAAAATCTCACCACTGCCTGATGCTGTGGCAGTCAAATTAGGAATGTCTGGCTTCCATTATGAATACACAATCCAAAATCTCTTATTCATATGATTTTATTTTATTTTAATATTGGATTACATTGTGTACGACATACCAACGACTTACAAGGGGGAGGTATAAAACTCTGCATGAACTCAGAGAGTCAAAAATATCTGCAGTACTGTTAAAGGCAAACGAAAATATATGTGGGTGACAACTCCAGGGCTGTGAAACTGGTATATCCAGCAATGTTTTCAGACCTGGGTAGACCTGACAAAATCCCAATTGTTTATTACATCACTGCTGCAAGGGGCCACCACGTAAGTGGCAAGGTAATCGTCCATTTTGCTTGGGCTCCCATCGGAACAGAAATTCTCAATTTCCTCTTTATTTGGGAATGTAAGAATAGGAGAAAATTAAAATATAAGTAATGCTGGAAGAAAATATTTCCATCTCTCTCAGAATGGAAATAATACAGAAATAGCATGCTTGCAAAACTTCGAAGGCTCTTTCATGTCCCTTTACACCACATGACTTGCATCTCTCAGTGAAACGTATTCGAGGTTGATACCCACTCGTATTTCATTTTCTGACATCAGAGGGTGTTCAAGTTTTAAAACAACACACTTCGAAGATTATAAATCTGTAATACCACCTCATACAACTTGAGTATATTTGCTATTACACGACAGAGTAAATATTTATAACATTTATCTCTGTGCTACCTGTTTTTACAGAGATTTCCACAATTATTCACAAAGTTACCATTTATAGTGGCTGTTCTTCCAGTCCAGCAATAAGTTTGCGGAAATGAACCTTTGTCTGACACTAATAACGCACGGAAAATTTGCTCCTGTTTATCCTTTCACCCAAGCGCGATGCTTCAGAACTGCATAGTGGCACTTTTCTTCTCCTTGTTGATTATTTTTATTGATAATAGCTGATAAATTTGGTCTTGAATAATATCCTCCTATAAACCTGACACTATGCATGGCATCCCAAGGAGAACCTATCAGAAATTAAGGAGAAATAAACATGTTTTCTGCAGCAACCACGCATGTGGACACTGACATCATAACTTACAAACACATCTCTGTGTACCATTTTATCACAGCTCTGAGTAGAGGTCAACATAAGGTTGCACTGTCCTAAAACCCGTGCAGAAAGGATCAAGTCTTGGGAACACAGGGAATTATTAGGCTGGCAAAAGGCTGGATTTTCCTGTGTCCTCACATACAACCGCCGCACAAAGGCAGGGGATATAATCCTGTCTCCTCAGGCTCTCACAACACTGAAACTCGGCGTCACCACTGACAGGGTAGTGCTGCAACCAGGCTGTGGGATGTTTGGGAAAAGGCGACTCAAGATTCAGAGACATAAAAGTATTGCCATGATTTTAGGAGACAGTAAGACAGGAGGTTTAGCTGAAGCATGATAGGCAACTTCATCTCAGAGTAAGAGAAACTGGAAAGCACACAGGCAAAGGGGAAGGGAAGCTAATGTTTTCTGCTAGCACAGCCAAGCCAGCCACGCACAGGTTCCTCTATGAGTGTGATAAGAAGTTTTAGAAATATAGGAAAATTTGGAAACAAAAACCGCTTCAGTATATTGAATGAAATAGTTAGAAGGAATATTTGTTCAAATTCATTTTAAAGACATTAAATACTATGGTAACCATTTGAATTCTTGGCTTATTTACTGAACAATGGAGCCTTTCATTTAGCTTCAGTGAAATGGGTCTATAAATTGAAAATTGAGACAGTTTAACAATATATTTTAAGAAAATATAATGTTTCTGCAAAATCGAACCATTTGCTTATTGCTTAGTATTTTGGCAAAATAATTTTGCTTCAAGGGGAAACTACATTATCATAATAAAGATCTGAGAATATAGCCTTCAGACTTCCTTTGATGAGTCTGTAAGATAAGCGCTCTGCAATCACAAAAGTATTCACTTGCTTTGCAAACCTCAGATCTAATCTCAGTGAGCAGCAGAGTTGAATCTATGTGTGAACAACCTGTTTTACGCAAAATGCATTTTTTAAATTTCATTTTATATTATGTTTTTTCCTTGATTTGAACTTTATTCCCAGTCTTCAAACTTGAGGTAGATACTTCCTAATTGGACAGTAGTTCCTTCTCCGGCACAGCCTCTATAATTCTTAAAAGCCAGATCAACATTGCAAATTATATTTAGGTTTCTGCTTACAATTGCCTGTTTTTTTCAGTTTTAGTGAAAGCAATGGGAGTGCAAAATGTCTTACAGGCCTTCTAGAAAACATGATATGTTAAATTCCGCATCTTAATTGTGAGGTTTTGTACATTTTATTTACTCTAAGAATATTTTCATTGCTTTGAAATCTTAGTGTTGAAGTTAAAAACCCCAGTCTCTGTCTCTCTCTCTTAGGGTTCTTATTTGGCAGACTTAAAAGAATCAGATACTTTTTGCAAGTTACCTTGGTATCATTTATATAAGTGCCATGGATATATCTTCAGAGAAATTACTGAATTCTTATCTTTAATCTCCATTTCTATGTACAGCTTAGACGTGAAAATAATTAGTTTTAAAAGGTGCATGTTATAGAAGTTATGTCAGAAGCTCCAGGCATGACCAGCCTTTACTTAACCTTGTTCTGCTTAAAAGTAGATTTCAGTTCCTATCTAATGTGAGCCGCCCCAGAATTATCGATAGTTTCTGAGCAAAATAGTCATTACAATGTAAGAGGAAATATTTAACAGAAGCAACAAAACGTTCCTTATACCTGAGCCTAAATGATTCAGTGCAGACTGTCAGCTACTGAAACAGCTGTGAATGGGCCATCCTTATAGCGAAATAAGTGGTTACTTAAATATTACACCGTTATGGTTAATACCACAGGTATTTTTGCATGAATCACAACACAAGGTAAAAATGTGGCAAAGCAACCGTAAGCTCAGTACACATAAGATTCACCAGTGAAAACGTGGAGGCTTCATGTGTGTAACTAACGGTGTGATTTACCCTGCATGCTGCTTAAAACCACATCACGAAATAAGGCTGTCGCCTCCGTTGTAGCATTGGGTTTTCCATTTTGTTGCTTCTGTGTTTGTGTTTCCCCTTTCCTTCCAGGGGGCAAGAGGGGCACCGCAGATCTTGTCATCTGCTGATCAAAAGGTTTCCTCTTTAGCGTGATGCTCAGGGCGTCTTTGGTCTCCGATGACAGTACATACTCAGTCTTCGGGTCCCGATATGACTGTTGCTTTTCCTCCTAGGCTTCGATGGCTGCATCTCCTACATCAAGTACGGCGGGGAGAGCCTTCCCTTCACTGGCAAGCACAACCTCGCCACTCTCTCCAAAACAGACCCTTCAGTGAAGATTGGCTGCCGCGGCCCCAACGTCTGTGCTAGCAGTCCCTGCTGGGGCGAGCTGATGTGCATCAACCGGTGGTACGCCTACCAGTGCGTCCCGCCGGGCGCCTGTGCCTCCAGCCCCTGCCAAAATGGGGGCAGCTGTGAGCCTGGGGAGCATGCCGGTTTCACCTGCAGCTGCCCCGAGGCGTACGCAGGACGGACGTGCGAGGCGGTGGTGGCGTGCCTGGGGATCTCCTGCGCCCCGGGCAACGAGTGTAGAGCAGGGATCAATGGTGGCCACATCTGCCTCCCATCCCCACACCCCGCCGAGCTGTCCCTGCCCCTCTGGGCTGTGCCGGCTATCGTGGGCAGCTGCGCGACGGTCCTGGCGTTGCTGGTCCTCAGCCTCATCCTCTGCAACCAGTGCCGGGGAAAGAAGTCAAAGGCCCCGAAAGAAGAGAAGAAAACAAAGGAGAAGAAGAAAAAAGGGAGTGAGAATGTGGCATTTGATGACCCTGACAACATCCCGCCCTATGGCGATGATATGACCGTCAGGAAGCAGCCTGAAGGAAACCCAAAACCCGATATCATCGAAAGAGAAAACCCGTATCTCATCTATGATGAAACCGACATCCCACATGCCACAGAGACGATCCCCAGCGCCCCGCTGGCTTCCCCCGAGCCTGAGATTGAGCACTATGACATCGACAACGCCAGCAGCATCGCCCCCTCGGATGCCGACATCATCCAGCACTACAAGCAGTTTCGGAGCCACACGCCCAAGTTCTCCATCCAGAGACATAGCCCGCTGGGATTCGCACGGCAGTCCCCCATGCCCCTGGGAGCCAGCAGCTTGACCTACCAGCCCGCCTACGGGCAGGGCTTGAGGACAACGTCTTTAAGCCACTCGGCATGCCCTACTCCCAACCCCCTTTCTCGGCACAGCCCCGCACCCTTCTCCAAATCATCAACTTTCTACAGGCATAGTCCAGCAAGGGAGCTGCACCTTGCCATAAGGGAAGGGAGCCCGCTGGAGATGCACAACGATGTCTGCCAGCCCGGCATTTTTAACTACGCCACTCGGCTGGGCCGGAGAAGTAAGAGTCCGCAGACCATGGCGAGCCACGGTTCCCGACCAGCAAGCCGCTTGAAGCAGCCCATCGGGCAGATCCCTCTGGAGACTGCTCCTCCAGTGGGGCTGTCCATCGAAGAGGTGGAGAGACTGAACACCCCTCGCCCCAGAAACCCCAGCATCTGTAGTGCAGACCATGGTCGGTCCTCTTCTGAGGAGGACTGCAGAAGGCCTCTGTCCCGGACGAGGAACCCGGCCGATGGTATTCCTGCACCTGAGTCCTCCTCCGACAGCGACTCCCACGAGTCCTTCACCTGCTCAGAAATGGAGTACGACAGGGATAAGCCCATAGCGTACACCTCCAGGATGCCCAAGTTATCCCAGGTCAATGAGTCCGATGCGGATGACGAGGACAACTATGGTGCCAGGCTGAAGCCCCGGCGGTACCCTGGCCGCCGAGGCGAGGGGGGGCCGGTGGGGGCACAGGCGACTGCCGCCAGCGCCGGGGAGAGCTCCCTGCCCGTGAAGCTGGGGCAGCAAGCGGGAAGCTTCAACTGGGACAACCTCTTGAACTGGGGCCCGGGCTTTGGGCATTATGTGGATGTTTTCAAAGATTTGGCATCACTTCCTGAAAAAACAGCAGCAGCAGCAGCAGCGGGTGAAGACAGCAAAGGTGGTACAACAAAGCCTGTTTCCAAGGATGGGGAAGCAGAACAGTATGTATAGGCTTTATCTCCTGGTCTTGCCACAGCGCAAAGCCACAGGGAGCGGTCAAACCATTATATGGTTGTAAAAAAGCAAAGATCAGCATTTGAACCCCAGGCCAGTTTGGTTGGAGGAGACTTTAAAAATAATAACCATTATGCTGCTGAAAGAGACTTAAAACATTTTTAATTTAATTATGCTTGGATGAATTTATTTCTCCTGCATGCATTGTATTTGAAAACAAGATATTCGGCATGCAGCCTTTGAAAAGGGTTTCCTATTTACCATTGTTTGGTTTGTGATTCTTAAATTAATAATGCTTTGTTCTGAAAATGAACTAATTTTTTTTTTTAATTGTGAAGGATGTGCATATTGTCTTCAGCTACTAACATGTTTTACGATGCAAGAGTATTGAGGATATAATTTTCCTTACGAAGTGCATGGAAGAAGGATGGTGAATGAAGGAGTTACAGTAGTAAGGTGTCTCAGAAAATGTAGTTACCATATCCTGCAGTTGCTCACATGTAACTTTATGGATGAAATCAGCTTGAATAATTGCTGGCAACAGTGCTGTAAGTCTTATTCCATACAAGAGGTGCTAGAAGCAGCTCAAGCCAGTCAGCACTTTAGGAGTTTTTTTTTCTTTTCAGCTTGTTTATTTGTTTGTTTGGGGTTCCCCCCCCCGCCTTTTTTTGCTTTTGTTTCTTGACAAAGTTGTGTGAGAGCTTCTGAATCTCTACAAAATATTTTGGGGATGCTTAACCCTAGTCCCTGCCCGCCCCCCTCAGTCCTTCCAGTGGGAGGGGAGCGATTGGCGTTTGTCAGCCCAGCCAAGTAGCCTGGCTCGCAGCGGCGGCGGCAGTGCGATCACCGGGAGCGAGGGAAAAACCCCTCGATGTCCGCATCTCTTGGCCTCTCATCTTGCCTGTGCTGCTGCTGCAGTCCGTGCTTCTCCCCAGATTTCACAGCCCATCTGTACTATGGCAAGGTAGGAAAAACACTTACCTACCTCACAGGGGTGTTGTGAGGACTAATTAGTTAACTCGTCTGAAGTGCTTAGACATTATAAAGCACTATAATAAGTATTATCATAATTATTATTAAAGCACTGCCTAGCCTTTGTGACCTTGGAGTGGAATTTTCTGCATTATATGATTTTCTATGATGGAAACTTTGAAGAATTATTTATTGTATAGAAAATTACTGCACTCTAGTATTTTGGAGCGGATATGAGGGAAAACTACTTGTAGATTCATTAATGTAGCTTACTGTTTGTCCCAAATTCCCTAAAGTTTTAGGTAAACTAGAACCTCACAAAGTCTTTACATCTTCATGGAGATCTGATGAACCTATCGTACTGTGTAAAAACTTCAGATTTTTTTTTTACCTAAGCTGTGTTTTTATATCAATATTTTCCTATGCTGAATAGTTTTCTTACTTTCAGGGAAGGTAAGAAAAATACTTTTTTTACATTTGTTACTTATGTAACATCCATATTTTTCACATTTTGATAAAATTGTAACATACTGTATGCTTTCTACCTGTAAATGCCAATAATAGAATTAAAATATTTATTTAAAATCTTTAGTGTGTGTTATTGGAAACCTTCTGTCTTTTCTCTCTCTCTAATTTCCACTCCTTGATCTTCACTTTTACTAGCTTTTTATTCAGAAAATGAGTTTTAAGAAGCAAGGTGGTGATGTAAAATTATGCATTTGGAATTCATTCACAGCAAAGGCAGCACTAGTATCACTGTGGAAATTAAATTAATCTCTCTGCAGAGGGGCAGCACAAGCCCAGTGCACTTCTTGAGGTCCCACTGAGTCCAGTGTGGTCATCTCTTACAAAGGGATGAATTTCACCAAGGGTGAGAGAAGCATTGAGCATATCCCTTTTGTATGTCATTAGTGACCTTGATACGATGGAAAAACAGCAGGCTTCGCCTATGTCAGGAAGACTGAGAAGAGGTGGTAGTGTGATCTTGTTGAGCCTAAGATAATGTCAAAAAGTACTAAATCTACTTTCAGATTTCTAATAACATAATAAAACTGTATTTTATTCCATAGGGGTTTATTAGCAGCAATGGATTTCACACTTGTTAACCAAGACTTCCACCTCTGCTCAAAGCCGAAGCTTTCCAGGACATAGATAGTTAGGAGTGTGAGAACAAGAGCTTTCTTTAATAAAAAAAAGTTGAACAATAAATAAATGCATTCTTGTATATTTATAAGAGAGTAAGTCCAACTTGGACAACTCGTTGGAGAATGCAACGAGTGAAAAAGTTAAGGCTGCAGGCAAGAGGTGAGTTCTGAGGTTACACTTTGAATTCGTGGTATTTTGTTTAAAGAACTTGGAAAAAGAACAAAAATTCAGGGTTTTTTATCTGTAACTCGTTTTTTTTTAGATTTTTTTTGTTAGCTTGTTTCAGAACTGGCAATGAGGAGCGGACTCTTTTCGTGAAAAATGCTGCCAGCCTCATCATGCCCCACAACAGTGAAAAGGTAATGGTCCAAAGTAGCCCACATTTGGATATAAGTAGTTTCATCTGAAATAACAAGAGATCCACAAATGATTTCGGAGTTTGAAAAGCTGCTGTAATTAAACATCTGTTAAAAAGCTGTATGTTTAGTTTGAATATTATCCTTTAATACAAACTGCACCACATCCAAGCAGTGATTTTAATAACACATGAAAACTTTAACAAATGAAATCTTTTAAATGTAACACCAAACATATTGAGAACTGCATTGTGCCAGTTAAGCATTCTGAGATTATCAAAAAGTTTTGTTAAAGGAAAATAATATGGAGTGTGGACTTACAGAAAATTTATGTCATAACTTTAATGCAGTTTACAGTTTATGTTTTAGTGCATTCCTCTAAAGTTTGACACTTTCTACAACAGACAAAAGAATATTTTACCAATTTCCTTGTTTCCCTGTTTCTGAAAAGCAGAGGGATGTTTTTGACACTTAGACAGATGATCCATTTCTGCCTTTTTTTAGAATTCTTTCATGATGAGGATCAGAAAAGGGCTCCAAGTGAACCATGTGAAACAATCATCCAAAGTTGTTAGTCGTGAGGAGTGAGCTGCATAATTCCCCTGGTTCATCATTGGAATTGCACGGTCCTGCTTCAAAATCTGGGACATATTATGTAAGTCACAAATATCTGGAAAGGAAAACAGTCTGAACTGCTCACTTCAGTGCACAGGAGCCTCCAAACACATCTCATGTCAGCAATTTGACTTAGTGACCCATCTTCATGCTAGTAGCTTGCAGGGCTACTCTGGTTTCTTTCCCGTGGGACGAGGGAGGGAGCTGTGCCGCTGTCTGCCTACTTCTAGAGGGCTACAGCCGAACTGTCATTCGTTGCCATCTCAGGGTTTTTTTCTCCTGATGACTAATGAGATGAAAATGGGCACGGGATATGGTAGACTTACTCAGCATTCCTGTGTATACCTGTGAAAAAGAAAACATTACAGAGTTTTGAAATACTTTAGTTTCTGGTAGGGAGATAAATTATTAAAAGAGGTGAAATCTAGATTTGTCTGATTCAAGACCTTCCAATATTTTTCATCAAATGTATATAATTTGAAAAACACAAAATTAATAGAAAGATGCAGTACATTGAAAAGTAATGTTAAGTCCTGCATTCTGGTGAAAACATCCCCCATGAACAAGCAGACTATGAGTCTATGCTGCAGACCACAACATGTGTCAAAGAGTATCGGTTAGCAGTGCAAAATCCAGCTGGAGCCACATTACTTCAGTCTGGAAATCAGAAGGCGTGGGGTGGGAAGGGGGTGCAGGATCTTGCTGATGCCTTCAAAAACTGAAGATGGAGCCAGACACTCCTCAGAGGGGCACAGCGGAAGGACTAGAGCCACCAGTGGTTGTAAGGTAAATTCCTGTTGGATGTGATGAAAACTCTTCTAGCGATGGGAGCGGTTGGCTGCTGGAAGAGATTGCCTAGTGGTGTTGTGGCATCCCCATCCCTGGAAATATTCAAAACTTGCTGAGACAACATACCAATGAACCTCATTAACTTCACAGCTGGCCTTGCTTTGAGTGGGGCGTTGGACCACATGACATCCAGCGGTCTCTCCCAACTTGAACGATCCCATGATTCCAGGTATGTCCAGCACCCCCATTTCCCCTTCGTGGTGTAACAGAAAGAAACGGGTTAAAAATGTGCTGGCCTGGGGCACTACCCATCTAGCACTGATGCATTTGAAGATCTTTCCATCAGAGTCACAAACGAGTGCAAATATCAACTTGAGCTGATATCAGCAAATTAATCTAGCTTCACTACAGTGATTTACTGTATGTCATTTATTTCTTCTGTGTAACATTGATCATATTTAATTTTTGCCAGCGGACTCCTACAGGTGGCGATCTGAGGTGCCCCTGAGATGATGTATTGAGTGCTTTTACTGATCACCTCCTGTGCCACTTCAAGTACTGTCTTTTGTATTGTAGGTTATATTTCTAAAGCGTAAGATTCAAATGATAATATTATCCTTTAGTGTAAGTATTTAATTTTAAAATGTTGCTTTGTAAAGGGCACTTTCTTAGCTGAAATCCATAAGAGACTCCTAATTACTGTTTTCTGTTGTGGATCTTCTTTTGCAATTGGGGAAGAAGAAGGAGGAGAAAAAGATTATTAAGAAAAAAGGTTGCTATTTTTTGAAGCAGGACTGAGGGAAGACGACAGCAAAAAGGTTAATCTCTGCTTTCTCGTGCTAGTGGTTTACTGTTTACCCTTTTATCCTTTTCCGTGTCCATCTACGTATTCATTCAACAACCTTTCCTCTCTGAAGTCACTGCTCTGTTCATCCCCATGTGCTTACTTTGCTTTCCTATAAATGGCACTTAATGAGGATGACTGGCAGCATGTGTTCAGGTTGGTGAGCATCACAGCCTGCCTTTCTTGAAAATTTGGATATTTGCACTCAATTGGCCTTTCTTGTATTTTGTGTGAACCTCACTTTTCATTCAGCCAAGCCTTATAGCATCTCTTTC